TCTATATATAAAGTTAATATGTAAATATATTATAAGGTTTTAGTTTTTAAAAACAATAGTTTTTCAAATGTGCTATCGGATAAACGATTTCTTCGAGGTACAATTATTTGTTATCTTGTACTCTGAAAAGTCACATTCAGAGTGCTTACTCATTATCTTAGATAATTTACAAAAGATACTACTTTTCTTATCTGAGATACAGATAAAGAGAGAGAGAAGAGAGATGTCATATATTTTAATTATTTTATATATTTTATATATTTTAATTATTTAGATAAAGATAAAATAAAACATTTATCACATCTAGATGGACATCTAGATAATATTTTATCTAGATAACGGAAAACACTGCTAATTATGCAAATTTATATGCCGAATATGTCCATACAATTTTACACACGGAGAATTTCTTTTTTTAAGAGAATGGCTTCAGAGATATCTCATATCAAATTACAAATTGACTCTATTAGTATCATGTTAGATACAAAAAAAATATATATAAAACTATATTTTTACTATATTTTAAAAAATTTTTTGATACATATAATTATATATACTTATACACAAATTAAAATTATTATATCTAATTATACAAATTTATGTGTGTGTGTGTGCCGAATATGTCCATACAATTCTATATACATGGAAAATTTTTTACCGCGCTTACTTCATTTTATCATATTTTGTTAAGAAAAACTGAAGATGAAACGGCAAAAAAAGAGAAAGCAATGTTTGTTGTTTATTCTGTGTCTACGCGAAATATTTTTGAGTAACCGTCATCATCGCGTTACATCCTTTTTAGGAATGTATCTGTTCTTACCATTGTTATCTACATTGTTTTATTATACTACTTAACATTCACATACCTATATCTGTTATCTAATCCAGAGCCTTCCAACTGATCACGTGACCGCATAGAAATCTTATGGCGCAAACCGCACGCCGTGCGCGAGTTGGAAGGCTCTGGAATCTAATCTGCGCGTTTTTAGCTTTTGACACACATTTCGAAGCGTTTCGATTTATCTTTGTTCTACATTTAATGAGAATAATGAGCAGTAAAGATAAACGCTTTGAGCGTCGACAATTAACGCACCCAATTATTGTTTACCGTATTTTATCAAATGATTGATGTGTTGTGAAGGGTAGAAATTAAGTGGCCCGAATATCCTGTTACAATGGCCTAGTTTACACTGTACATCTTTTTGATACGCGAATCAAAATTTTGTTTTTCAATGTATAACTCTGGTTAGGTTATCGGTGTAAACTAGGTGAGTGATATTTATATTTATGAGAATTTTAAGTGTAAAATTGTAAAAATTGAAATTTTATCAGCAACTCCGGTAAAAAAATTTCCATGTATAAAATTGTATGGACATATTCGGCATATAAATTTGCATAATTAGATATAATTATTTTAATTTGTGTATAAGTATATATAAGTATGAAAGTGTATAAGTATGAAAAATTTTTTACCGGGACTTAAATCCGACTTATTATTTATTAATAATTAACTATAAATCCGACTTATTATTTATTAATAATTAATATTTATATGATTAAGTGTTGATCGGCCCGACAATCTCGCGGCCTGAGTGCGAAGGCTGCGATTAGGAGGTCCCAAGTTCGAATCCGCACCTTCGGATTTTTCCGGGCCTCTTTCAAGTCGAGTTTATCGACCAAAAAGCGAACTGAATCCGGGCATCCAATCAGCTTGAATTGATTGTTGGAGATGTGGAAGAGAAATGTAAAGAAAGATTGTAACCCTGAGAAGAATCAATAAAGGTTACTAGTTTCTTTATCCTTTATATGATTAAGTTGAAAACCGGCTTAACAATTTGAAATAATTAGAACGGACCCAAAAGCCGACACAGTCCACAGGTGACGGTGGTCCTTAAGCCTATGTCACACTACGAATTGGGATTGAGATTGGATTGAAATTTGACCAATCAGAAGAAAGAAAACCAATCCTAAGTTTACTGATCTTCGCTCTGATTGGCCAAATTGCAATCCAATTTCAATCCAAATCCGTAGGGCGATGTCCCATTGAGCGGAAATATATAGCGGAACGGAATGTGCGGAATCAACTCGACCAATCATAGCCATTCCGTTTTCTTTCCTTCGCTTTTTCTGTGGTTACGATTGGTCGAACTGGTTCCGCACATTCCGTTCCGCTATAGATTTCCGCTCAATGGGACATCGCCCGTAGTGTGACATAGGCTTTAGGGCCATTCTACAATGAGTTGAAAATGTCCCGTAGCCAGTTGCAACTACTAGGAAAAAAGTATTAGTTTACATGCTGCGGTTGCCAGTTGCTGTTGACAAAAGTTAAAAATTGACCAACTCTCTTTTAGCAAGCGCAACGACACAAAGCGCAACCAGAAATAATACTTTTCTTTTCGTAATTGCTACCTTTCGCAATTGGCAACGGGACATTTTCGACTCATTGTAGAATGACCCTAATAATACTTTTTCCTTAGTAGTTGCAACTGGCGACGGGACACTTTCAACTCATTGTAGAATGGCCCTTAGAACATACATACTGGAAGGGGCATAGCCTATCTGACGTGCGTGACAAAAGTGTTTTCAACATCTATCTATCTTCTTGTCTGCATAAAATCTGTCAATGCGCTTGCGTGAGAGAATAACCGACTTAGGCCATAAGCCTATGTCACACTACGGATTGGGATTGAGATTAAATTGAGATTTGACCAATTAGAAAAAAGAAAATTAATCCTAAGTTTAGTGATCTTCTCTCTGATTGGCCAAATTGCAATCCAATCTCAATCCTAATCCGTAGTGTGACATAGGTTATAGAGATATAAGAGTAGAGCGCGGGAGCGAACCGAAAACGCGATAGGACGCATATATGTAATACTCCTATATTGCTAGTACGGTGCCGACCTGAAGCTCACTGTTACGGTGCAGACAATATACGTCACGTTCGGAAACAACACTCGCGTACACACGAGCGTCATTCTATCTTTGTTTTATATATAATGAGCAATAAAGATAAAATATACACGAGTGATGTTTCCGAACGCAGCCATAGTAGCCTCTCTCTCCAGCTGCTTTGTGCGCATGCGGTGAACATTCAAGCACGCTTGCGCATTTCTCTTTCTCGCGTTCTTTCTCTCACTTTCCAATGCTTTGTCTCGCTCGCACTCACTTGGTAGATGCGCCTGCGCATAATGGACGCTCGACCATCTATGCCCATATTTGGACTTCGTGCGTCTCCCTTTCTCGGGCCTCGTGCCTCTCATTGCGAAGATACGCGACTAGCCACGGCTGGTTGGGCTATATCCCTTCCAGTATATATGTTCTAAGTGGTGGTCGCTAAACGCACTTTTAAGGTCAGCGTAAACAAATAATTAAGTTGAAAAACGGGTTGACAATTCAAAATAATCAAAAATAAAAAGACTGATCGTTTCTTCACCACACTCAGTGAGTTATAAAAATTTTTTTAAAAAAACCATCATTACCTGTGGATTACTGGCTATTGGGTCTGTCCTAATTATTTTTAATATTTATATGTAACGCTTCGTTGTCTACTTTGTAGCAAAAGTTGTGTGTGCCGCGTGCGTGTGTGTGCTATAATATATTTTTATTTTTGATTATTTTGAATTGTCAAGCCGTTTTTCAACTTAATCATTTGTTTACGCTGACCTTGACGTTGTCCTCAGGAACATGCAATAGGAAAACAAAATCTATGTTTTAAAACATGTTTTTTTCTTAATCCTCTATGGGCCCATGTAACTTTCAAGTCACAAGCTAATATATCCACATTTTACCAAATAGTTTTAGTTTTTTTCACAAGATGATGTATACGTCTTAATTATATAATGCCTCCGAAATAACCAATAACAATATTGATGACGGTTGGCAGCACCATCAACCTGAAATGTCAAAATAAATACCTTGCAAGGTATATTTAAGAAAAAAATTCGGCCCGTAGAGGGTTAACCTTTTGTGAAAAGATCTCAAAAATGATTTAGACCTGGTTTATGCGGGCAAATACGGCCTTGTTTTGGCCTTGTTTATGCGGGTAATAACTGTTAATTTATGCCGGAATTGGGGTACAGTTCAACTATAGGATTTCAATGCTTCTGTTATATTCTGTTATGCTTCTGTTAATAAACAGAAATATTAAAATCTTAGGCCCGCATAAACCAGGTCTTACTAGTTGGACCGCCTGGGTTTGTGAGATTCACGCGACTTTAAAATCGAATATCTACGAAAAATCAATATTTTTTTAATTTTATTATTATTTTTTTTTTTGAGTAAAAAGTGAACGATTCTGCGTCGATAAAAAAAACAAAAAAAAAAATGAAAATCTCGTAGCAGTTTCGAAGATATAAGCATTTAAAAAAACTTTAAGTCTTACTAAAGACACCGATGTCTTGAGCGGGTCATGGAGACCCATGTCTGTTTGCGAAGAATTAAACAAAATATTGTATAAACGAAATATCATAAGTTTCTGATGAAACATTATAAGCACAGAAAAATAACTGCAAATTGTATTTGCAATATTTACATGCTTATTGCCACATCGGGCTTTTGACTATAGTTTAGTTTCAACGTTTCGGTTGTGTGTTTGCGTGTAATCGATTCCGATTCTACTACCTATCTCCGATTTGAATCAGAATCTGCTGCTCTGAACTCGAACGAAAATGTTTGTCGACGATCTGTCGATGACAAAGAGCGCAGAGACAAGCTTGAAATAGACAACGCAAACATCGAGCGACTTGTGATTAATGTTTTCAGAGACGTCCTCGTTGTCGAGGACGAGTCCGCGGGGAGCTCTCACTGTTTTGCAGCCGACCATTTGCTACTCAATCCCTGAACATTTGTTACGAGAGAGCTGCCGGACGTTTCGATTTCTAACACCTTCGAGTTTTATTTGACGATTCCGATTGCAAAATCTATTGGAAAGTAACACTTTAATCAACGACAATATTCGCGCGACATCTTGAGAGTTTCAGGAAAATAAATTAAATTGCGAATATCGCAAAAAACTCGTCGTGAAATAAAAATCCTTCCTCGAAGTTTTCCTTCAATTTGCTTAAATGTTACATCGAGTCAATCTGTTATTAAAATTAGGACCTGGAGAGGAGGAGGAGGTTCGCTTTGCAAAATCGTTACTGTGTTGTGACAATAGGGAAATCGAAAACTTTCACCCTTCGAATTCTGGATGCTAATTGGTGGGTGGTTAACTCGCGTAGCCACCGGGGCAAGTTTTGCGAGATTTATGTGAGTGCGCGGGCGTTGCGGCTAAAGGCGCGAATAAGCTCTGGGTCTTGGTACGGGGGAAAGGGAGGAGAACACAAGATTTTGAATTAAACGTCAACCGCACGATGAGACACGAAACTAACGTCTCGGCGCGATGTCTGGGAATAACGACGATGCTCTCTCGCACAACTTCGCGCATTACTTCCACCCGACAATAAGTTAACGGAAGCGGTTTAAATCTTGCGAGCAACAATAATAATTATCACGGGTTATTATAGACGGGTTCTGTAAGTTCGGAAATTGCAAATCCATAAATCTGTCGTTAAACGTGATATACGATTTAAAATATTGATCGAGAGAGAAAGAGAGAGAGAGGGAGAGAGAGACATCGAGAGAAACGTGTTGGTTTTATTCACACATATCCACGTGTACGTTATCGTTAAAGCATGAAAAATGTCTGACGTATCTTGCGTGACGTAATGGTTCATCCCCCCGTTTTTTTCCCACGCACGTCGTTCACGCGTACTCACCAGGGCAAATGAAATCATTTCAGGGAGAATAATGACACAGGTCGGGGCAGATACTTACCAAAGATGAAGTATCTCTTCATCATGACGTTGAGAAAAGTTAATCCAACAAAAAAAAAAAGCAAAAAAAGAAACAATTCTAATGTACAAATATCAAAATAAAATAAAAAAAAAACAAACATTAGATTTTTGTTACATTTTTTATTTTATTTTATTTTATTTTTTTTCGAGCGTCAATTCTACGGTTTTGCTCGTTCAATATGGTAGTTCGGAAAGATTCGGATAAATAAATGTGGCGTAATGAACGTAATACATATTCCCCCTCAAACGGAGCGGTGCCCTTGAACAAAAAAAAAATAAGACGAAGAAGTGCCATAAATTGGGGGTGACGAAACTCGGCAAGATGCAAAGACCGTGGAGCAAGTGCAATGAAAGTGCCATTTGGTACAGCACACACGACGCTCACCCCTCTCCCACTACGACTGGCACGTGCCTCGAATATAATTTATTGCAGTTGGAATTTTGTGGGGTGTCCCGCGAATCCCTCGCGTGCTCTTTGTACCTAGCGACGGCGGATACAAGCCACTTCTGTTGTCCGCTCGATATACACACAGGATCCCGCCAAATAACGAGGATGATCACTTGACGACAAGCATTCGACAGGGGAAGGACTCCCCGTTCCCCTATTCTAGTTTTTTACAAAATAACAAAAGAAAAAAAAACACAATGGAAAACTATGTACGAAACAAATTATTTTAATAAAAAAACAAAGATATTTATATTAAACGAGAATTTTAATTAAGTAAGAATTGTGAAAATTGACATCTTATCAACAACTCTTAAATTCGACAAATTATTTATTAATAATTAATATTTAAATGTAAATTCTTCTTTGACTACTTCCGTGGCGGAAGTGTGTCTATATGTGCTGTCACATAAAACAGAACGTGTTTTACGTTCAATACCGTCTTCTTAACGAGCGTGTTCTGTGTTTTTGTTTTTTTTTTGTTTTTTTTTGTCTCTTTGACACAAACGAAAAGGAAAGGACGCTCGTGGGTCGACCCACGTCGACGATATATCGATCTGTCTCTTTCATACGTGTCGCACTTGGAAATCGCGATGATTTTGGAGAATCGTCCCAATAATTCGGATCTCGTATTTTGCCGAAAGCACCGCAGCCGCCGCGAGAGCGAATCCCGGCTACCCTCATCGCCAAAACAACCACCCTCGCGTACGTGAGCGGGATGAGCGAGCAGGATCAGAATCTGGGGGGGAGCAGGCTCGTCGGGAGAAGATCCGAAAGTTTTGAGTTTGTGAAAAGTTCGACGCGGGTCGTCCTCTTCGCACGTCGGGCTCTTTTTCCGGCAGAATGCCTCCTTTCGTCGAACAACTCCTCCGCGATCGAATCCTCTCCGTCGTGTGCTCCGTCGCTCGATCGCGCGTATGTATGTCGCGCTTCGTTCGGCTCGAGGTTTATTTTGCGACGTCGACTTGGGCGTCAACGTGAATAATCCGAACTAAAACAAATCGATAGCGGTAGTTATACATTTACAAAAGAAAATAACGGAATGAAAATAATTCCTGGTTTGTGAGATAATAATCGATTTGTGGGGCAGAAGAATTTACAGCGTTTTTTGTGTTGAAATCTAAATGTGCAAATCGTTAAAGTGTCGAAACTTTATTTTAATCCAATCCTTCTTCCATCCGCCCGTTTCAAGTTTTCAGAGGAATAAGCGAAGATTTAAAATACGTTGAGGCCAAATCCTTTATATATTACGCGCATGTATTTTCTTTACCCTGTTACGTCGCGGAAAGAACCGATTCGCGAAAATGTGTGAGAATTTTCCACGAATTAAATGGCACCTCTCGAGATTGGCTCTTTCATGATTTTCGTTTATGATATTCTTAAAGTGTATTAACTCCCCTGTCATGAGTCTCTCGGGAGCAATCTCCCAGAAAGTTTCATTCAAGTTTGGTTGCCAGTGGACGTTCGTACATATGTATATGTACCACTCTCCTGTGTCGTTTGTTCCTGATGGAATTCAATTCGAAATAAGATCCGAGAAATCGAAATTTATTCGCTAATTTCCGAAATCAAGAGTGCAAACGCACATTTACATTTTATAATTTCACGCTTTCGAGATTGTTAAAAAACAATCGATAAAAATTTTTAAAAATATTATAA